TACAAACTACAAAGTCATGAGCCTTTCCAACAACAGAAGGACCAGGCAGTGGGATGTGAAAAGTGTGAAAGTTGAAAAAGGATTCGAGTGCATTCCAGTTCTCATTTCAAAGGTTATCCAATGAGCAACAGATTGACTGCATGATGATGGTTATGTCACCTGCCATGTTTCCTTAAATGCAACATTGCTCCCCACTGTTGCACATATATCACACGAGCAACATATATCACACCAGCAATGGTGTGGACATACCAAAACGAAAATACTGATTTTTGCCATAACTGATGTAACAGTGACACATTCCAATTTTGTACACAATATAAAAAATCTTTATTACTTACTATATACATAGGTACATAAATTAGAATATAAATTATTAAAATCAAATTCCCTTTGCTTTAGAAAGTTTACCAAAGGTTCATGAATATTATTGTTCTCTGTACCACATATAAACTTCAGTCAAAAGTCTTATTTTGAGGACTACACAAGAGGGGCAAACACTGCAATTCCCTTTGCCCAAATATCCGTGCCGAGCCCATGTGTGAACATAATCCGTAGTCCTTATTCCTCTTCCTTAGGCTTCTAATTGCCAGTTTTCTCACTGTGTCTTCATCCAGTGTATGAATAAATGCCTGTGAATTTAATAATGTATTTTATAATAAAATAATGAAATGACTATCCAACAGCTTTACCAATTTCTAGCATCAAAGCAAGATAATTGGTCTTGTATGGGTTTAAGTCATGCTATTTTTTCCATCACAAAGCCTCGCTTTGATATCAAAGCAAAGCTTTTGGCGAGAACAACAAAATGGCCTGATACACGGTTCACATGCACAAGCCCCATATGCATTGCAATTAGCTTCAATTAGAAGGTTAAGGGGTTGGTTATTTTTATTTACTAAATAGCTATTATACAAAATGTTAGGATATTTCACTTATATAAATATATAATTATGTGTCATTTGGCTAATATTCAGGCCATCTGAAATAGGAAAAATCAGATCAGCAACAATTTGCCATCAGCAAACAGGTCTACAGCATGTTAATCTGCCGCCCTGACATGATGTCCTGACAGGTCGGCAATCTGCCTTTGCGAAATTATTTCCCGTTTCAAATTTCAGTCTGTGCCATCACTTCCCAATTAGACTTTATACTGTATCACCCAGGGATGAAACTTGAGGGGGGGGGGCAAAAGTACAAATCATCTGGATTGGCAGGGCAATGAAAAAATTTAAATGATATAATGTAGAGTTATTCAGTGGCTTCCAGAGGGAATTGAATAGAATTTATAGACCTAAATTTTACAGATATTGGTAAAAAAAATAAGGGTTTCATGCATGTTTTAACAGGAATTTGTCCGAAAAAATATTTTGTTGCATAATTGAATTGGTTTATGTCCGAAAAATGTTTTCGCCCCTTTTTTTGAATGTCCGGAAACCGACCTCCCCCCTAAATTTTTCTACCTCCCCCCCATTCGCCAACATTTTTCGGAGAAATAGCGGCCAAAAAAACTTTTGCTGGAGGGCATCATCGACTTTCGCAGGGAAATTCTAGCAGACACCACCCAATTAAAAGGGGGCTAGTTTTGCCCCTGGTATCACCATTCAACAGTTTCAGCCAAAGTTATTCAACTTAAAGATGCAGTACAGTCAGTCTGTGCATCTGCTCACAGGAGGCCTCTTTTTATTATACAAACAGTTTATTTAGGTTTTTATTTCATTTTATATTCCTGCAAAGATTGATCGTTGTGTCTTGATGTATTATACTCTAGAATCATGAAAATATAAATAGTCGTCCAATAAAATTCAGTATTTTGGATACTGAAATGTAAACAAAGCCTTTGTTTACATACGGACTGTACCGCATCTTCAAACATGTTTAATATACCTCATTTTAAAAACGTTTTAAACAATTTAATAAGATGTATTAGAAATTCACAAACCTTACAGTATCATCGTTTTCTCAGTATAACAGTTGGACGCTGTGTGAGGCCACGAAGTACATGCACTACATGGTACTTTCGCAAACGTTCTCCTACAACAAAGTAGGATAAACAGTAAATATAATGTGGTATAATATGCAAACACAAATAAAAGATACCGTCAAGTACATTTGATTCGCACACATACCCTATTCTTGCAAGGAGACTGAGGAGTTTTGCGAGTTCGCCACACTTGCAGCTGGCAGAATGCACAACGTTCTTTAATATTTGCCTTACGCGGGCAACCTCGGTTACTGTTCTCGTTTCTTTTGGTGGCACATGAACTTTTACAACTATAATTGTTAACCTGTGTGAAATGAAGCAATTATTTGGTCTTTTCCGCCGCCGAAAATGTGAATATATGCACATTTTTATAGTCGGAATGTTGTGATTCCGACCTTTTCCGACATATTCCGAAAATCGGTTTGTTATGCGCAGAACGGATGCGCAGCGGGTGACACTGCCGCTTTAACTGCCAGAAACAAGAATTTAGATATATTGGCTCAAACTCTCTCTTATTTTAGCATTTTAATTTTTTGCCCCCCCAATAGACGCGTTCCCTTCCTTTGACTGAATTAAGATTACGATGCCCCTGGCCCCCCTCTAGTGTTATTTATAATCTCTATGGTGGTGTCGCCATATTTTCTTTCAAAATCAATCCACACCATTTTATATGTACATGTATAAAGTTCCACGTGAAAGCATTCAAAGCAACGTACTGCACTTTGTCTTTGATTTATTTTCAGTCTTTATAAACAAATGTTTGCCAACTCTACTAGCAGAATCATCACAAAATATAGTTTCGCAAAATACAGTTTCGCAAAATACAGTTTCGCAAAATACAGTTTCGCAAAATGCAGTTTCGCAAAATACAGTTTCGCAAAATACAGTTTCGCAAAGTTTCGTTTCGCAAAATACAGTAAGCCCTAAGGAAGTGAAAATTACAGTACTAAGCATATACTATAGGTTATTTTAATTGTAGAAGAAGTAGTCCCTGATAAACCACAAACATTCCAACTGTCAATAAGTATTCCTATGTTATGTCACATTTTGTGAAATTATAACAACGTCTGAACACATAAATTACTTTAATTTTCAATGGCTATTTTTTTGGGTGGGCCAATGCAATAAATTATGTTCACTGGCAGGGCTACCACTCTCCTCCGCAGAGTCTGAATTATATAGGATTTGTAGGGATAATGTAGGGATAGTAGAGGACATTTAGTGGTGCGCGACGGGGGGGGTGAGATCGATGGTTGACAAAATGTACAGGGCTACCATAAACGTCCAGGTTTTGAGGTTCAAGAGGTTAGAATGTCTCAAACCTTTACTAATCGAAAGTCCCTAAGCTGAACAGACTTTCTCACACTATTCATCATACAACTGATACAAGTTTTTAAATAGAAGCGACACCTTAACTGCCACACTTTAAGCACACTTAGTCTATACCCCCTTGCTTTTTTTTACGTTCTGCTGCAAGGCAAATGTTCGAGAAAAGCTCCCAAGACAGCTTTTTATCGTCGTTTGCATCGTCGAATCACAATAGAGAACATCTAATTGCAATATATTTGAACGTATAATCGAAGTTTGCTTCGCAGTAAAATTCAAACAAGGCAAGAGCTCCATTAAAAAAAGCGCACTGGATAAATTTGAAATATATGTATAAAAACTTAATTAAACCTACTCAACTGTACTTTCCTACTTACCTTGAAATCTGCTTCATTTATTGCAAACATAGTTTATTTGTTTCACATCACTATCTAGGCAAAACAAAACACCAAAATACGACATTTCCGCAAATATGTGAAGATTTGGACGCCATATTGCTTTGACTGCGCCCGAGCGCAGGTAAAAGACCCTGGCTTGCGTGCGAGGTTGACCCACTGAGCTATACTATATTACTGGAGGACCTGCTCGGCATCAACAAGTGAAGCCGAAAACATGGCGGATCTTACGCCATTGCCATGACAACACTTCCGAAATTTTCATGCTAACTGCCACTGACCAACCGCGATCCTAAGCTTCCGACGATGTCCTTAACCCCCCTGGTTTTTGCACAGAAATATTAAAGATATTTCAAGTTTTCTGTTGTTTTTGAGCTAAAAAATCTTAATATTTCCATCGCACATTACTTGTTTTACAACGCGGAGGAAGGATGCGGGTGTGCTTCGCTTGTGGATGCAGCACTTCACTGCAAAGAAAGACTAATTCTTTCAGGTAAGATTCACGAAACTTTTTTTAACTTTCTAGGGACTTGTTCACTTGCATTGTCATATCACTCGAGATATAATACACTCATATGTCAAAAACTCATCATCCTAATATATACAGCCAATATTTCAATAGCAGACATACAAATATTGTTAATGAGTAGATACTGTGTGCATGAAATTATATTGTTTTGTGTCAGCACTGGTCTTTGTGGTTTTATTGCCAGACTGCCAGTGTTTAATACTTGTAATTTATATTGTGGTTGTTTTTACATGTTTATATTGTGCGAAATTTTTATACTTGCCCATCATATAGTGCAGGATTAATATATATATATAGACAAGCACAAAATCACGAGACCAGAAATATTTGAGTAGAGGAGGCCCACCTACGTGTGTCAATATATGCCTGTCCTGATGAGCCCTGGAGACTGTCTTTTTTTGTTTTACACTGTCTTTTAAGGGGAGACTGCTCACTGCTGCCACTCAGTGGGTTAAATATACTATCTGCCAATGAGCATGCAGCCCCTGAGATATAGTCAGCCCATTAAGTAGCAATGTGCCCAAATGAACCCTACATTCTTATTTTACTCAAAGGGAAGAGTCTTGGGGTAGAAAATAGATACTCACTTTGCCATTGTCTGTTCAGAACCACATACACAGTATGATGTGATAGTTACATGGCAAGAAAAAAAATGTTGCCCACAAGCTGTTGGGATAAGTGAGTCACTATCGATGTACTAACCAGGTAATTAATTCAGAAATTTATGCTACGTACAACATTTCTAACATTGGAAGAGGTGATGTCTGATTGGTCTGTGAGAAACTATGATGAAATTTGCTAATAATAGAATTGCATTCCTGAATATGGAAACATGACACTTAATTTTGAAGCTTGGGATCATTATGGTTTTGGTAAAAACAGATCATATATAGCACCATAGTGCAACACTCTCCCCTTAACTAGTAAAATTGTCTGACATTAGATAGATTAAAATAATACAGTAAGGCATATCAAGACTGCACATTGCACTTGAAGGGTTAATATATGTGTATTTATTATATAGTAGAGAGTGAAATACTGAAAAATACACAGTGAGATATTTTACATATCTTCACTAGTGCATGAAGATATCGATCACATGACTTTTTCTAATTAATAATAATATACATGCATATGATATTTTCATGGTGTATAAAGATGTATATAAATGTATCATGATAATAATGTCATCTTTTATTTTGCAGAAATTATCTGTTTAATGCAACACAAGAGATGGCACAGGCATCAACATGCAGAACATCAAAATGAAGTTATAATTATAATACCATAACAACATAATAAATAATTATATGATTATAATAACTTTATTGAAGTGTAAATTTTTACAACAGAGCACAATCATGCTCCACTAAATTAGGAAGAATTAAAATTATACATTTTTAAATTGTTTACTGCTAGTTAATAGAGGCTACAAAAAAGTCAAATACTGTACATCCTTCCAGAAAGTATGCCACTTTGACTATGGAGCCTTGTTTTTGTGTATTTGACATGTCTCAATCATGAAAATGAGACTACAGCCTATAACCAAGATGATATACTTTCTGGAAGCATGTATTAATTAAAATGCAGTTGTTCAAAATTAATCAAGCTTTAATTGTATGTTCAGTTCAGGCACAGATTTTCTGGGGGGGTGCCCCCCAGAGGCATTTGGCAACGCCCCTAAAAATTTTTGCACCCCGCAAATTATATATATTTTGATTTGATAGTTTCATATTTGATTATTCTTACTACTAAATTTGTAAAATTACCAATATTATGGTCTCAGATCTTGCCATGCAGGGGCCAGTTGTTCAATATGCTGGGTTAGTTTAACCCTGGGTTAACCTAAAATTCAAAGCAAACTTCCTGATAGCTTGTTTATAAATTTGGAAATAGTTCTTCAGAAATCTTGTCAGGATCAATAGGAGTTCTCTTTTCTGAAGTAAGTTTTGAAATAAACAGACTTGCACAAATACATGAACTAAAACAACAGATTAAATTTTAACCCAGAGTTAGTGCTAACCCACCTTTGAACAACCGGCCCCAGGCCTAGAAAACAAATTTTGTTAAACTTTTTCCTTGGCCTTTCTGGGCATTGCCACCAGGCCCCAGCCAAAGCAAGCAGCAGCAACCTCCCCCCCCCAGATTAATCCACCCCCAAACGAAAATATGAAAATCCGTCTCTGGCTCAGTTTCCAAAGATGTGGCTTGATACTGTGTTTTGCCACCGAGAAAGGAGAGTGTGTCATTATGGATTAAATCTGCAATAAACAAGAATAGATTAATTTTTAATGAGATTGTACAATTATCCAGGTAACATAACTTAGCATATGACCAAGGTGAATAAACGAATGTGGCCTAACTCCTCAGCTTAAATCAGAACTATGAGTGCGCTTATGTAGGTACATTGTTTATTCAGAGTGATATTGGCATATTGCGTTTTTTATCCGTACAACCCCTGTTGAGGACCTTGGAAATCCAGGGGATGCCTTTTATATGTAACTCTGAAATTCCAGTGGGTGGGGGTCAAAACAACCTGGAATTCCAGTGGTTGGGGGTCAAAATAACCCTGGAATTCCAGTGGGTGGGAGTCGAAATAACCCTGGAATTCCAGTGGGTGGGGGTCAAAATAATACGATTTACATGGAAATTCCGGGGAAGGGGATAAAATAATGATACCGGAACGGCCCAAACTGGAAATTCCAAGGGAGATCAACTTATTCACAGTGGAATTCCGGAGTCATATGGAAAAAAATGAATTTCCAAGGGTCATTGATTAAAAACAATTGGAATTCCAGGCACCCCCTTCTACAAACCACATTTTTCCAGGGCTTCTGACAAAAAATTACTTGGAAATCAGGGGGGAGGTTGGAGAATTTACGCCGTGTGTCCTCAACAGGGGGTGTACAGATAAAAAATGCAATAAGCCATTTACTGAGAAAACCTGTAAGAAAACAGTGCATCTTGGAAATGAGGTGTGACACACATGCATGCATTATCTCAAAAGGAAATAAATGTAAATAACTAGTATGTAATTTGGGCAAAATTAAAAAAAATTGGCACACCTCAGCTTAGCTAAACCTCAGCTTAGGGAAAAGTGTGATTTATCTCAAGCCTCTATAATGACACAAATATCAAGAAGTATCCCAACCAGAAAGCTAGCACCTCCAGCTTATACTGTACATAAGTTGGTACATAACACAAAACCTAAATCCCTCTTTCAAAAAGATAGTCTGTGGTACATGATCATAGTTTATGTCTATTTATAAAATGAGATCTCAGAGTTTTTAACATTATTACACAAGACAGTTCGCACTTTAAAGACCGTCGTATTAATACTCGTATATGTGACTGAATAGAATTTTAATAAGACTATTAAAATAAGTATCGTAGGTTGTTACCAAATATTTGCGATTGTGAATAATCACAGTTTGCTAAAGTAGTGGAAAATTTTACACTTTCCCATGTGTATTGCACTGTAGGAAGCTGTTTCCTTAACAAATAGAGTGTCATTTTCATCGTTATACTTATTATTTCATGTCAAATAAGATAAAGTGTAAATAAAATTGAATATGAAAATACGCCTCTTACCTTTGTTATTTGTATATTAAAATCCATATTCAAGTCTCGTCTTTTTCCCACATTTCTTGAGGTTTTAAAATTTGCTTGTCGTCTTTCATGGGCGAGAATAACACGTACGACTTGCATATCTTTGTCCAAATGGTCAAAGGTAGAAAATTTATATCGAAAAAATTTTAAAAACCGATTCAAAACAACAAGAACTATATTATCTGCAAAAATTTTTGCAAAAACCAGGGGGGGTGAATACGGCCGTGGGCCAGTGAACTCTAATAATAACTGGAAGGCTAAGTCAGGGGGGGAAGTTGAAGCCGTGCTTGAAGCTTTTTTTGTAGGTAGACCCAGTCCTTTTTAATTTTTTTTTTCAAAATATGCACATTTTTCGATCTGAAAAATCTTGCCCCAAAATATTAGTTATACTACCAAATTTAATTTATATCAGTAGTATTATAAATGAATTTAATATTCGCAAAGCAAACAAATCACGTATTAGCAAAAAAATACGAAAAAACACGGCCATAAGCATGAATGGTCAGAAAAACCGCGCGTTTTAGGCTGCTTTTTCTGAGTTTTTGGAAGTTTAAGATAAAACTAAGACGTCATACCTCAGGAATTATTTAAACCCATGCAAAATACATCTGTATGCGAAGTTTCAAGAAGATTGAACGTTTTAAGGTCGAAAAAAAAGCATTTGAAAATTGACAAAAATATTGCCATATTCAAAGTGCTCATAGTGGCCAACAAGATGCCGATGACGAAAATAACATCAATTGAAAAACGCCAATTTATTTATGTTTAAGAGCGACTAAAACAAGGACTAAAAGCTCAGGATCAATAACAATACCTGGGGTTTAGTACAACATAAGTTTTGGGACTGTCAAAATGTTTTATAGTATATATTTTTGAGTTGAACGGCGAGATTTCCTTCGGCACATCCAAACTTTCGTCATTTTTTCAAAATACAAAAGCAAAATTCCTTACTTTTTGCTGCAGAGAGATGTAAAACAGTTGGAACTAATCGGAAACTTGGTTTAAATCCCAAGTCATTGTTGTATTCCCATGGAAAAAGTGTTTTTTGCAAATTTTTGCTCGAAAACAAACTTTTGGCAGAATTTTTTTCACTCCTCGAAACTCTCCTTAGTCCTTTTGAAAGCTGATTTTCCCGCGCGCCGGCTTCAACGAATCATAGACAATCATAGACTTTCATCATAGGAGTTAGCCTTCCAGTTATTATTAGAGTTCACTGCCGTGGGCTCAGAATTGAGCCTGGTCAGTGGTAACTACCATGAGGATTTCGGAAGTGTTGTCATGGAAATGGCGTCATTTTCACTCAAAATCCGCCATGTTTTTGGCTTCACTTCGTTGACAATCAGAGGAGGAATGAGGGTCTTCCCACAATGCATTGCGTCTAATTATTATTCACAATTACGATTTTCAACGAACGTTTGGCGAAAAGTTGTTGAAATACATTGCGATTTTGGCAACGTTTATCTCGTTTTTTCGAAGGTATGTTTTTATATTTGTATTATTTAAGACCCTAATTAAACTATTTTTGACTTGTTTGGTACAGGAATTGCTTTTTAGTTATGTTAATTACGTATTGTAATTATGCTTGATTCGGGTCAGTGGACACGCCAATAAAATGACCTTGATATAATGCAGAAGCAAACTCACTTTTTTTTGAGGAAAATAAAAACAAAACACGTCACCGAATTCGGGAAGATTTTTTCTTTCTACTGTTACTTTAAAACATGAGTTTGCTCCACTAAACCGACAAGTAATCGCGGTTTGAAAATGGGGTACTTTCGCTATATTCTGTCGCCGATGGCGGGAATAGACCGCCTGATAATCATCATGGCGCGAAGGAAATTATTGTACTAATGATACTAATCACTATTTTTCATGATAATTTTGAAACATACACATTTTTGTTCGTACATATTTTAAGTTTAATGCAATTTTTAAGGTTAGATATGCTTATGTTTACCTGCCCTGGCGGCCTGGCTGTATTTTTTCATTTTATTATATAATTCGGCTATTTTGGAGTAAAACTGGAAATGATACTGCTATATATTTTAAACGGGTATATACTTCTGAAGGTGATACCCCAGGGAAACCTATTAAATAATAAAAGACGCAGAATTTCTCGTTTGAAAAATTCAACATCAAGGTTTTTACAAACACAGGCTTTCTTGCCATCCTACTTTTCCTACTTTTTCCTACTTTTCTTCAACTTTCCTACTTTTCCTATTTTTTATTAAAAATTGCTTGATTTTCCTACTTTTTCTCATAAAATCCTACTTTTTTAAGACAGCTTGGGGAATCAGTATGTTATAGCTCTCGTAATTAGATCTATAGTACCCGTAATTTTTATTCCCTATTTGTGTCGCAGAGCATAAGATCTCAGGAGGAGAAGAAGTGCATTTTCCGAGTATAAAATTTCATAGCATCTCTAGAATCATAATCAATAAATTAATGAAGACTCCGAAAGTGCCATTTCCGACGATCTATAGAGATTCCAAATATTCAACTCCCTCCTCAGTTGATCAAGCATCATATATACAGGGCCATAGCAACCGGGGGACTGCAGCCCCCCAATAATTTGCTAATAATAATTTTTTTTCAAAATCTTGATGCAGACCTTTATCATTTAAT